GGAAAGATGACTAAACGGTAAGTGCTGCGTGTTTGTTCGGTTAGTGAACAGAAAAATATCGAAATGAACCATAAGAAACCCAAGAGTAGGTTTTAGGCACCAGTCTGTATAGGCGTGAGTTCGAATCGCACCCTCCACCACCATTTGTAGCACGTACTATTAGCGTTTATCTGCAAGCAGGAGCGATCTGGAACACAACACAACAGTCAAGCCCGACAGATGCTACTCAAGTGAGAACACGGCGTTTTAAGTACAAAAAAACGGAAGTATATTACAAAATGGTTTTACTCATTATCCCGCAGGTTTAACTTGCGCAAGGCTTGTTCTTCTTCTTCTTCTTCTTCTTCTTCTAGTACGTTCACTTTCTGTTGCCCTGAAACAAGGAAAGCAAACTTGCATTAGTAAAGTCACACGTAATGGATTTTGATACTGCTACATGGCATACGATTAACTGGTGCGCGTTGGCTGTCCCTGACCTTGACGAGGATCGATGATTTGCTCGATATTCAATGGCCCAACTGCCGGATGATTTGGCTAGGGCTTAGCAACATTTTGCTGGCCCTACAATACTCCCCCACCAGATTCAACGGCCGTTTGAATCGGTACTAAAAACGTTGGGAGTAGTTGCGCGCCGGAGATTACCAAACGATTAATATGAATCCTCCGGGTATTGCCGAGCTGTAAAACAAAGTGGAAAGTAGGCGGCAGAAACTGATCGGGAAAACAGCGAGTAATAACATGTTAGTAGGACGTTGGTTAAACGTGGAGAGATTAACCATAGAAATAATGAAAAGAACAAAACGTTTTATTGTTCTATCAAGTCGCGCTGATATCTATATCTATATCTATATATAGCTTTGACAAGTAATTGAGTTCCTCCGATGAAGAACGTCAAGTTTGCCGCAAGAGCAATGATGCTATAGCGATAGTAGGATCAGCGTATTAACAATCGATGCCGATGTCTATACTGCCATTGATTTAAAGTTGAATGTCAAACAGTGTCGTTGACAGCTTCTAGTTATATCTATACTTAACAGATTAACCGTTAGTACAGAAGTATAACGGTGAATAGTGGTCATGATTTCGTTGTACTAAGCTATTAATCAACTTGTAGTCAGAGTTTGAAAAGTCGATGACTGTTGTTACAGTCAGTAATGGTCGAAGGCTACAAATCGACAGCAAAGGTGGCACGGTGAAGTCTCGGAAAGATGATAAACGGTAAGTGCTGCGTGTTTGTTCGGTTAGTGAACAGAAAAATATCGAAAAGAACATAAGAAACCAAGAGTGGTTTTAGGCACCAGTCTGTATAGGCGTGAGTTCGAATCGCACCTCCACCACCATTTGTAGCACGTACTATTAGCGTTTATCTGCAAGCAGGAGCGATCTGGAACACAACACAACAGTCAAGCCCGACAGATGCTACTCAAGTGAGAACACGGCGTTTTAAGTACAAAAAACGGAAGTATATTACAAAATGGTTTTACTCATTATCCCGCAGGTTTAACTTGCGCAAGGCTTGTTCTTCTTCTTCTTCTTCTTCTAGTACGTTCACTTTCTGTTGCCCTGAAACAAGGAAAGCAAACTTGCATTAGTAAAGTCACACGTAATGGTTTTTGATACTGCTACATGGCATACGATTAACTGGTGCGCGTTGGCTGTCCCTGACCTTGACGAGGATCGATGATTTGCTCGATATTCAATGGCCCAACTGCCGGTTGATTTGGCTAGGGCTTAGAAACATTTTGCTGGCCCTATAGTTTATTATGGATTATTTCTTATCCTAAAATTTTCATTAATGTTGTAATGTGCAAATTATATTTTGTCTTTTGGACAGCTGCCTGAATGATTTTTAGACGCGCCTACGATCGTTTGAAATAAAACGAAGTAATTGGCTAAGATAGCGCTTTCACAATTTATTATAAATTTATGTGTGCATTATTACCTGAACAAATGTAACCACTCAGCTTCCCAACCAATAATTGTTCAATTGATCAAATCTAAATTACAATAAATAAGAAAATTGATAAAGAGTGCAAGAAAATTACCAATCACCACAATTAAATTTTATTCTATCTTGTCTGGATATATCATGTACAGATTCGTTGAAAAGGTAATAAGTGGTCGCTCTATAACACAGAGTATTTTCAATTCTGGAAGAGTGCTTCAATTCACAACCAAAATGCTCAATTCCAGTCAACACAGATCAAGCAATCAAAAGCAGGGATAAACCAAAATGGCTGCCGCCCAGACTTAGTATAAAGGAAAACAACATAGGTGCAGTTCGGGAAGAAACATGGGGAATCAGTGAAGGTGTAGTGAAAACGAAAACTATAATAAAATACAAATATTGACAATTCAAATGTAGTCAAAAAGTTAACAATGTACAACTAGGAGGATCAATAGGAACAAAGTGCAAGTATGTACATGGAGGGATTTTCACAAACACACAAAGCATTCAAAATGGATTTTACAAATAGAACCAGTCAAACGGAAACGTTTGTGATGGATTGTGCATAATCCATCTTATCCGCTGTTGAATTAACGCACTGTACTGCCCACATAGATCTATGCTCTTTCCATGTGTGTAGAGTTATGTGTAAGAAGACCCGCAATCCAGTAATCAAGCAGTACTTATGTCAACTGGTGCGTGAACAAACAGTAGCTAAGTTTAATCAGACACGTCGCATAATCAGTGTACGCAGCAGACGCATCGCAACCTACTTAAACAAGTACTGGATGAGTAGGAAAGAAACTTGGGCCGCAGCTTTCAATAACGATGTCGTTACGTTGGGTAACAACACGAAGTTGTCTAACCGAGACGCGTTGAGTGAAGGTATGTGGAAGACATTTACATGGCAGAGGCAATTAGACAAACGTAGGTCACTACAGTCCAGCTTACATTGTAGTCACAAATGCAGATACGTAATGGAAGATTACTTCATGCCTCTACTAAGCAAGCTAACCACTTATGCTGGCTTTATAGTCCTTAAAGACTATAAAAAAGGGGACTGATATGCATCAATAATAGCCAGTCACCCTTTGTGTTCTTCGTAGACGGCCATCAATGTCCGGTGGTAGATGAACTTGGCAGGCTGTCCAAGATGTAGTTGAAAATATACCAGCTATTCCGTCTCCAGATTATAATGAAACGAACAGACTTTATCGCACTCTACGCAGTAAAATCCACAAACTCAGTACACTTTTCGGACAGACGACGGTACAAGACATACTAAGGCTATTGATAGATCAAGTTGATGAATTAATAAGCATGAGGCGTCTGGCTACAGTTTCCGAACACGGTAAGTCCACTGGTTCTTTGGAAACCAAAATCCAAGTATTTATAAATGCATCTATTAGGCTAATACTCGTACTCTCTATTTCAGATTGTCAATGAACACAAATCTCGTCATGTGCGTCTGCTGCGTTGCCAGTTTTTGTTAATACCTTATTAAATAAAAGTCTTGTATTCACTAAATACAGAGTTTCTTGCCATATTTGGTATAAGGGGGTGAAAACATTGAGTGGTCCTGTAGTTGTGTTTTGATGAGCACGTGCCATCACTATACTAGTGACCCGTGAGTGTAGCAAAGGTATTGATTGTAAATCCGACGGCATCCCAATAAATAGCTATGACTTAAACGCGCACCCATCAACGTACTACTGCAACACATTATGGCGGCTGAAACAGGTTATAAGGAGGCTCGGACTTAGGGGTTTCCCGTTGCGTGCTTATCATATGGTATTTCAATCAGAAACTAAGATTACAGGAAGGGACTGTTGGGATGTGTAACTGAGTCAACTATCTCAACTTGAAATTACTACATATCAACTAGGTGCTGACAGGCTCTCGTTTCGCCAGTTTCTTGCAACGATTAACTATATAAAACGAAATAGCATCAAGTCGATAAATTTATTCACGAACTTTAATTAACAATGGAATATGAAACAAATTACATTGTAGCATTGGTAAAGTGAAGCTGCAGTAATTGTTTCTTTTCAAACGACAGGGTATAACAAGTAACTCCAAAACACTGGAAGTGGTTGTGAGACTAAAGTGGACGTCCGATATGCTTTTAATTATTTTCTGTTACTTGGGTCTCCCATAAAGTTTCATAGGGCCATAGTTATAAAGCTGAATGACTTTGTAAGATGTGCGACGGCTCATTCCCGTTACATTCTAAATAAAAGATAGTAATGGATTTAGTGAAGAATGTTGAAAAAGTAAATAAACAAATTACATGTTTCTAAGGAAAGAATTTATGCAGCTGTGATTTACCTCGACTCCATAAATATCAGATCACGCCAGCTACTAAAACTTGTGCAAAATACAGCATCAGACAGCTTTTATTATTTTGCTCCAACTTAAGTATTCCCATGCATCTGCGTCTGGTTTAACAGGAAGATATACAAGTTGATTTAGTATCTGGTAAACTAAAAGTTCCAGTTGTCAAAAAGACTCTTAACATTTGTCCACAGCCAGCAGCATTTAATTAAGACAGAACACTCCTCATCTAGGACTGTATACTACTGTTTTGCTGGCAAATAAAAGCTCAGACACTTAGCTATCCTGCTACCGATGTTATTGCTGGGGAAATCGTTCATTGACAGTGGTCTTGAAACATGAACAGTGTTAGACGTACTGTCTACTAATAAACACCAAACGTATTTAAAGCTATCTTATAATACATGACAGGAACAGTACCAAAGGTATTTTTTTCTAGTTTTAATCAGACTGATTTGAATCAGTATACTCATTAAAAACAGGCAGCTCTACTTACTAAACTGATCTGTTTCGTTACAGGCTTCAAGCACTATACTTAAGTATACTATGATTCTATAGACTAAACTAAATTATACGGCAATCAGGAATACTAAACTAAGCAAGTGTCATAGTTATTGTTCCATTTGCACAGACATGTTGCTAAACGGAGTCAAATGAACATAATTCAGCCGATAGAACCAAAACACGAAATATAGGCCAGTCAAACTTACCTAAGAGAAAACGAAGGATACATATATACTGCTTTCATACTGAAGACAACAGGTAGTTTTTCATAAAAACACAGTTTACAGTACAAAAAAACTTTCTTCAGTAAAATCATGCACTGACAGTCTATCTGGAAACAATCATCTATGTGAATAAACTCACTGTGAGTTGAGATATCATCCCAGCGTGCAATGGACGTTCAATGTAACGCAGTCGGACGTGGCGAATAAAAATTAAAAACAGAGGAAAATTAACCACATAATCTAGTTATTTAATTAAAAGTACATTATGAAATGACAAAATCTGTGGTTACTTGAACTCACAGATGACCCTGGGCGATACATTAAGTTTACATGGTTGCGGTGCGGATAAATTCACCCCCGCATAGTATATAAGCGACTTACGCCCTCCGAGGAAATACGCACCTCGGTGTTCCTTCTAAATCGTGATCCGGGACTAGTAACCACAAATGGCTTAGGCACCAGCTCAAACTATATGGAGTATCGGGTGAAGACAAACGCAAGTCTTCTCTTTACACGAAAACAATTTGAGCCAATCACCCCAGAGTTGTTCTTAGGTCTTTTCAAAACGCATGTATAGCTAATCTTAAGTTCACAATGTTGTTGTGCCTTGTCTGTTCAGAAGAAATATAAATCTCATTGACCAAGTACTGAGATAGGCAATCAAGTGGGTGATAGTAATAAAACATATACCTTACGATGACAGACTCCAACGCCTGAGGTTATTCAAGTTCGCCAAGTCAGCCCGATGTGGGGACCCTGCTAGAACATGAGGACCACTGCCTCCGAGGTAACTCTCGAGGAATTGTACGTCAAGGAGAGAAGACCCAGGTGTGCTCTCACATTCCCTCATTAAGATCTGCCACCACTTGAAACGCTCTTCTGAAATGACCAAAGCTTCCTATGTGGATAGTGTTATATCCTAGTAAAGACCAAATTACGGGTAACTTCTAAGAACTATTGATGGACTAATAATATATAGCCATTCAGTAGCTAGGTTATGTATCTGCATATCTATATTCTTCTCACCATCTTCCCATAATAAGCTAGAGATCATTATTATACGACTCACAGTTCTTAAGTTATCTTCAATTTATTAACTGCAGTCACGATCACGGCCACTTTTTTTGCTTGGTCTTGTGCAAATGTCATTTCATATTTTATGGTGTGATGTGGTCCGTTTGGATTGCATATAAACCAAGTATGTTCGAAATAAATGACTTGTATAGTGAAAGCCGGTATTGGTTTTCTGGACTCAACTGGCAGGGCTAGGAAGACAAAGGACCAATAAGGACGCTACGTTGCTCATAGCGGTCGATACGTCATTGATTTTGCATAGTGCTAAGATTGTATGAGTCGTATTCCGATTAGCGAATAAGTGACGTAAAAATTAGCCGGCCTTAAAAACACAAGGGTTAGCTTCATGAAGTGACTTGACAAAGATGTACTCACCCGATGATTATAATCTCATGCTTGAATCTCTTGTGGTTGAAAGTTTCATAATTTACACACTGTTTTCATCACTACCCGCCACTAACGGCTTCCTACCTGGCTTACCATCACCTCCGTTTTCCATTTTATCTTTACGCTTCTGTCTTCTCACACAGCATGCATCTGTCGATGAGTGAACTTATCTATTTATTCACTTCATGAAACAGTCGTTTTCTCTCAGCACTCAAATTATCACTTCATTACTTTCCATAGTGCGACCAACCAAGCTTCTGCATGCTGATATGGTAGATACTGGCGTCTAGAAACCCTACTGTCATTATACAGACAGTCACTCGAGTTACAAGATATACATATCCACACATAGCTACCAAACTGACTAAAATTAGTGCACATGAGTGACTAGACTATCGCCCTTTGAACATAACCGAATGCCTGGAACCATACCGAAACAACAGTAAGCAAGAGCAAATAAACCAATTTGTTTACACAAGATGGTGACGGAGATATTAGATATTGGATTTAAAGATTATGATGGTTTATCATTTGAGGTGTTCAAATAAGAGTGTATGATTAAGCTGAACACGTGTAATCGCTTCTCGAGGAAGAGGTAGGATGGAAGAAGAAATAGATGCAAGTTATCATCAAAACATTTTCATGTTGGACACCCTGAACCTCCTTCTGATTCGCTTCCGCTTGAACAGGCGCGGAATTATTGTCCTGTCGGTAGGTTTTTTGGTACAGCTCTTTGTATGTGCGCCAGTATCAGAAATCTCCACTCATACTGCAAATGGGACTACTAGTTGTAATTCTATATGCAGTTAAGACTGTTGGTTATGTTAACATTATCCCCAGTGGGTTTCAAAAAAATAAATGGTTATTTGATGATAGGATACAGTTTATTATTTATTCCAAGTCATCTCAGCAGAAACGTTCTGCTTAAATCCCCATCATTGCGCTTCACCAAATGACCTTTTAACAGTTGCACATCAAAGGACAAACACCTACATAAGGTTACCTTTTCACCTTGAGTCAATTCCATTCCGAATGCTTTCCCAGCCGATGTGAGCCCAACCCCCTCAGTGTACAGCCCCAAGAGGAGAGCTAAAGACCATTTGTGACCCATGGCCTGTTGTCTTTCGCCTGAAACATTTGCGCCAAAACCGTGTTTCACAACCTGCATGAATTACCAGTGACATGAGTACTTTAATTTTCATCAGCCTGTTACTACGCACTTTATCCCTTGTCATCTCCGTTTATCTGTTATTTTAAAACCGTGTTTATTTGTATCTCAGCGCAATTCGTTTACTCGTGATTGATCCCTTGCTCCTCTGCATTCCAATCTCGTAGTTTCTATCTATAACTAACCAACATACTTTATCATGATCGCTGGAAGCTCTAACAATCCCATACATAGTCAAGAGATGTTAGCTTCCAAATAACTACTAAGTTAACTAGGAATAGTTCACTTTGAGTGACCAGACAACTCATTGTAAGCATTAAGGACTTGAAACATTATTGTAACGCCAAGAACCTAACACAAAAGATCAATCGGTTTACACTCACTTGCCACAAAGATAAGAGGCACATAATTTACTCCAGAGCGAAGTGCCGTAAGTTCAGTAATTTAAGTGGAACCGATTGCTGTATCATTTATGCCATTTACCTTTTCATCTCAGTTTCTTAGGGAACTGTGCTAAGTTGCTGATTACTGAAATCAGATACATATCTGTTTGTACTTCTAGACGTCTTTTCTTCCTATCACATTACTATGCTGTTCATAGTTGCTGAGTGTTCGTCATCTGTGTCAATTTTTCATCCAGTTTTTAAAGATGGTAGGCGATTGAAGAGTAGTTATAGGCCAGTTGTTTGTTGGAGCGTTTTTCCTGTTGGTTTAATCCTTGAGATTAAAATTAAATTGTGATTTAATCTTTCTAAAATGGTCACAAACAGCTGGTGTTTTAATACCTGTCCTCTTTCTGTAATATTTGCACCTAAGGATTTTAGAGTGATTATGTCATCTATCACTGATACAATAAGTCAGTGCAATGTCACAGTTTGACCTTATAGTGTTCTATCTAATCTGATCCTAGTTTGGGGAAGACTTCGCACCCCGTTTTTATTCAGTTATTTTAACACGTTGGTACAAGGAGGCACCAAATACATATGCACCACACATATCTCATTTGATTTGTGTGAGGGCTGTGATACTATCCGGGTGCCCAAACCGAAGCAGGTGGTTTTCTAAGAGGGCCTCAACTGGAGCCTTCGACCTAAAGGTCTGATCCACAAGGCAGTGAAGCAACGTAAGGAGATGCAGTTCCATGGTAGCCGGTGACGAACGATTGGTTCCCTTAGGATACTGAAGCCCATGTGCACCATTGGTTTGGAATCAGGGTTTCCCAACTTCCTAGGTGGACTCTCCATGTCCACCAACCCAGTTAAAGCGCCGGAGATTCGCTTTTCGCCCTCTCACTTTCGTAAACAATACTCCCACCACGAGAAGGCAATGAGTAGGACTTCCCTGTCAATGGCTATATACGCTTGGCCATGCGAGAGCATTACCAACCAAAGGCACAATCTTGCTGATTGTTTTCATCTGACAGCGTTACATGTTGTCTTGAAACTCATGGCTCAGTAGGTGCATCACATAGAAGCACTGTTTCAGTCGCACCTGGAGATGAGCGAGACTGGATCAAAGTATGAATTGCGTAGTTCCTTTGAAATGAAACATCCACGAATTGTGCTTGTACATCATTTCGTTAGCCTGATGTTTAAAATGGCCAGAGGCAGGTTCATTTTATATTTCCCAAATAGTTCATAAACCGCATTCCGACTGAAAGCTCAAGGCATGTAACCACTGTGCTCTAAACTTTGTTTTACGAACTAATGTTTTGTATATGGAGATCGCAACTGACTGGCAGTTTTCTCCAGTACATACTGGATTAAGTCGACCAAAAGCCCTGCTCAAATCACTTATTAAATCTCAGAGTATTTAAGGAAAAACAAATGTTAAAACAGACCCAGACCAACAAATAAATTTGACTTCGTGCATATACCGACATCACCCTCTCTACCTTTGTAAGCTATTTATGGAAACCATTTCAAGCATATAACGTTGCTAAAATGTGCTAATTCGTTAGAAATTTACATTACTAGCGTAAAACATTTTACGGCAGACAGCTAGCCTGGATGTTTGATGTTTTGAGATGGGAACTTAATTTTTTGGAAATAATGGTTCCATCCAGATGACACATCTTTATCACTGGCGTTCGGTGGTTTTGTTTCGATGTATATGGTAGTATATTTGATCCCCCGAGTCATTTGGTTTTGTATGTTGCAGAACTTTATGTAAATATCTTTTTAAACCTGGATTTCACAAATGTTAATTGAAAAAAATCGGGAACCAACTTTACCTGCTTCAGAGTCGACTGAACCCCAGACAGATTATAATCCCAGCACGACTGAAACAACTAACCGATCTGCAGACAATCCTGGGCCTTGTCTAGATAGCACCGTACGTAAAGCTGATGGGATGAGCGATAGTGATTTTGATGATCGGGATGTTTCGGTAGAAGATGATGACAGTATTCCTCCAGAGGAAGATGCTGCTGACGAGGAAGAAGTATCAAGTCTCATGAAAGTGAGTTAATCTAATCTGCAGTGTAAAATATTTCGTGCTGTAATTATATTGTATACAGCATTTCTAAACTTATTTAGTGTGAAAAATAACCAAATGAGAATTTTTTGCTTTTAAACTTCATAATATTCTGAATTCAATCATGGTACTTCCTTTGAAGTATAGGGTTTCAAAATAGATTAACTATGAATCCTACTGTTGCTTACTTTTGTTTTAAAACTATAAATGAAAATGTTGACTTAGTTTCCATATTTTATCAAATCCATCGAGAAGGAATGTGTACACCATTAGAAAAAATTTCTCTTGGGAGTCTAAATGTATTGCATTGTACCTAGGTACGTTAGCACTGGTGATTATACCATATACACAGCCCCATTCTGCATATATAAAGTTGGTTTAAATAATCCAATGATAACATCGGTTTTGATTTAGAATCTTAGAAGTGTGGGTTATGTAGGGTTTGCTTGTATGCGTTCTTATCAAAAGTCAATCAGTTGTACACGAAATTCACTCGACTTTAACTTGTCTTTTATCACTATATGGTAGAGTACTTAAATACCAGTTAACCCCTGTTATGTCTTACACAATTTTTGAAAGTCATATTATGGAAGATATATGTTATCAGCTTAACTTTAGTGAGTGTTCTAAAAATGCATACCTTCAGTATTTTGGACGGCGTCACATTTAACCCCTCCTGATGTAAGATTCTGCATCTGCATAAAACTTACATTGAATATTTATACTGTTTTTCCATACAGTTGGTATAGTAGATGTAAGTTTCATACATGTTTTTATTTTCCCCTTATTTCGATATTCATTTTTGCGTTAACTATTTACATGTGTATAGGTAGTAAGGAAAATCTTTAGTGCTTGGCAATTTGTTTACTCTTTTGATTTTAGGAAAGTCAAATGTCATTAGATGAACTTTTAGCTACATATGGAATTCCTGCAAACCCTTACGGGAAAGACGGCGACTCTGTTGCAGTTTCCTGTAGCAACATTTCCAGAGGTAAATCTGGGCGCTTAAAAAGCATTCGACACACTGTTACTCCTTCAAGTTTAGCTTCATTACGGGAGGAATCGGTATCATTACCTCCAGCTAAGAAGTTTCGTCGTGCTGCTCACATATCTCTCTGCTTAAATATTGGAAATAATGATATTTCTACAGGAGGAACTAGACCAGTATCATCAGCTGATTACCCAACCATTCGTTCATCGTCAGATATTGATGCATTGGTAGATAAAAACAAAGTCGATACACCTCCATTACGTTGTGTGAGTTATTTGGATAAATTATCAGTGTTTAATTTATATATTATTTGTTCTTCCAGTTAAACTCATTGTTTTGACAGAAAGCTGTATTCTAGACGTAAGACAATTTCGGGAAAAAGGTTGACGCACTGTCGTCGTTTAAGTCATGTCCATCTAGCAGATTAATGGGTATATTGCATTATAATTAACTCTATTGAAAATATCATGATGCTCTGTTTGTCGTTAAATTATACCAATATTTTCGCTCTAATCACATAATTCACGAACTTTTAGATCGGTCTAACACGAATTAGACTCGTTTCTAGTTAAATACTCATCTTAAATTCATTGACCAATTTAGCTTCAATTGGAATTCAGGGGTAAACGTGTATATCACTCGTGTCCATTCAGTGACTAGTTTCGGGTCAAAAATCTGGTTTATTGATTTTAAGATCTAGCTTTACAAACGATTAGTTTAGATAGTAAAGTTATTTCTTTTACTCAGTTGGTTTAGGTTATAGACTAGCGCACGAAGCTGTACATTGTTTCTCAGTCAAATTATCATTATAAACTGTGTCAACGATCATATTTAATTTTGATTTTGTCCTTTACAATCTTTCAATCCTCAAAATCACACTCAATTGACGGAATGATTTATTGTATAAATTATCTTAGTTTATTTCTAATAATATAAATGAAATTGGGTGCAAATTTTACAAGATTGATGTTATATCCCGTCTCTTTACATAGCTCACTGTATTTCCACATCCACACTCAGTCCCTTGTTCGCATAGCACTAGTCCGGTGTCTATAGATGTATCATCTTCCGATCCTCCTTCAGCAACTGCAACTCCTAATTATTCAAAACAACATACCTCAGAAGACTCAACTATTAGTCGCAAAAGCTCATCGCGTAGTCATCTACTTAGGTCCCGCTCAAAATCTAACCTAGCTATCCATACTTCTGAATTATTGGACAGTGCAACTCCAAATGAAGAGAATCAGTTGGAGGAAGACGATGTTGATACAAGTGTGCCTAACTTTGAGCTGGATGTAGAGAATCATTTCCAGAAAAATGAACAAACTACTGACGATAAGTTTGAAGTCAACCAAGATTATTCTTCACGTTTCTGGAAGAGTGCAATTACTGGTGAGTAAACTAGATGGATTCGTGTTATGTAAATGACAGTTAACCTTGAAACCAAATTTCCCTGTAAAAGCCCCCAGATTGTCACTCTTTGATAGTTTGCTTTAGCGTCTCAACTAATTCGAAGTTGGGTCGAAAATTTGGAAACTAATAGTCCTAGTCTGACCATGATGTGTGTTTTTTAGTCCTTTTTTCATGTACTATATGGTATATAACAGTAGTTTTTGAGTTTTCGCGTCAAAACTGCGTTTACTAACTGTTATGACCTTGAATCGCTTTCACCTCGTGATACTTGTTATGACTTGACCTTGATCTGTCTAGTCTAAACTATGACCTTGACGCGTTAGGCTGAGCGGCTTAACCTTGAGTCTAATACGCGTGAGTTCGAGATGGGGTAGAGATACAACTATTCTAGAACCTGATTGGTTGGCAAGCACACAAGTGAGAGAAGACAAGACAGTTGGAACACTGAATTCGGATTAGTACAAAAATGTACATGAATAAATAAGTGAGTATCTTGACCACGACGTACGATAATTTGGAAAAATACAGTTATGCCCGAAACAGGGAATTAGGGTAGAAAATAAAATGCAAAATATTATGTTTCAATTACAATATTTTCGGAACAAAAAAAGGTATGCTAGTGAATGATACATGGAACGAAAGCTCGTGTTATGTCTAAATGGGGATTTTCGCTGTATCATAAAGAACAAATAAGATAGAACAGAAATTTAGGAATGATACTGAAGATTTAGATAAAGGTGAATGAATGCAGCTTGCCACATTGACTTGGGTTTGAGTCTCGTGTACAGGATCGTGGATACGCACTGCTGAGGCGTCTCATACTAGGACGAAACGATCGTCCGGTGCTTCCAGGTTTTCAATCGTGATCTGGCTAATATCAACCTGGAAAATTATTTTAAGGTTTATGATGTTGAACACGTCTTAGTTTTTTAAAACGATGGATCTAGAAGATATACAATGATACAATGTCAATCGATAAGTAATCACAAAATTAGACTGTTGAGGAGCTGATATAGTTTCAGACCCTATTTGATGGTGGTCAAGCTAGAAATGAAATGAAAAAAGAATTGGGAAACTGGACAAGTAAAATCACAAAAGTTCGATATAGCCTTCCTTCGAGGTGCTAACCAACTCAAAAAATTGCTCACAGCAATAAATCCCAACCTTTAAAAGATCTACTAAAAAGAGGAAACCACACTGGAGAACAACTGGGATGAGATTAAAGAGGACGTCCTGGGCCTCAAGAAGCACCATCATAAACAATGAATCTCTGTTGATATCCTGGAAAAGATTCGAGAAAAGAAGAACAAAAAGGCAGCAATCAACAACAGCCGAACAAGAGCAGAAAAAGTCAAGGCACAGGCCGAATACACAGAAGCAAACAAAGGAGTGAAGAGAAGCATTTTTATTTATTTATTTATTTATTTTAACACATATTGGTACAAGGAGGCACCAAATACGTATGCGTCACACATATCTCATTTGATTTGTGTGAGGGCTGTGATACTATCCGGGTGCCCAAACCGAAGCAGGTGAAGAAAAGCATTAGAGCTGATAAGCGGAAATACGTTGGAAACCTAGCAATGACAACGAAAAAAGCTACAAGAAAGGGAAGTAGGAGATAACTGTAAGATACGGCGAAGAATCTGACGAGAAAACAGTAAGTCAGGGCGACCAGTCGGATACAAAAAGGCAAACCAATCACTGCGATTCAAGAACAGCGGAACAGGTAGTTAGAGCACTTCGAAGAACTCTTGAATATAGAGCGACCCGCACTAAACCCACCGGACATCAAATCAGCACATACAGACCTGTTACCTCACCAAAAATTGAATAAATCAGCAAGAGTATCGGAAAAATCAAGAGATGGAAAGCAGCTGGATCAGACAACATACCAGCAGCAGCCTCTGAAGCGGTAGACCTCAGCATATACAAGGGAACATGCAAAACCCTGAAATACAACAGTGAGCACCAACGAAATCGTACTTGATAAATAAGCTGCGGAAGAGGTGGGAATTTTCACGTACTTGAACATCATCATTGATGAACAAAGAGGGTCCAATGCAGACGCACATGCAAAGATTGGCATTCCTGCAGTTAAAAAACATGAAACTCAAGACAGTTGTCAACCAACCTCAAAGTGAGAATCTTCAATACGAACGTCAAGATAGTTTTATTGTACGGAGCTGAAACGTGAAGAACTACTACAACCATAATCAAAGATGTACACGTATTTATAAACAGTTGTCCAGACATGATACTTGAAATCAATTGACCGGACACCATCAGCAATAACCTGTGGGAGAGGACAAACCATCTTCCAACTGAAGAGGAAGTTAGGGAAATACTGGTGGTGGGTAGGACATGCGTTGCGGACGTCATCGATCTGCATCATAAAGCAAGCGCTGACTTGCAATCTTGAGGAGAAAACGAAAAGAAGCAGACTAAATAACACGCTGCACCGGGAATCAAAGACATTACCAGAACAAACAGCATTTTCGAACAACTGGAAAAGAGAGCCCGGGACATATTAGGTTGGAGAATCTTGGTCGTCGGCCTATGCTCCAAGAGGAGTAACAGGCGTAGATACGTTTATTTTGCGTGTCATATCATCCCGTTTCTTTGTGAATTTCTTATGGCTGACTAATTCTTACCAAACAATTTGCCTCTGCACCATTACAACAAAAGTGTGTTCACTCTGTTCTGAAATAGAACTTAGCATTGTATTTGTACTGATCTTTTTATATTTGTTTTCATCTTTGCAATGCTCTGTTGTAATATAAACGAGAACCCTTTCTTTCATTAGTATTTGTTATTTCCTTGAAGCTACGACAGGTACAGTCTTTTGTCTAGTGATAATGCATAGCAAAACTAGTTTATGTCTCCTGACAAGTTTTGCTTTCTTTTCACCCTAAAAAGGTCAAGAAACTACACCTTCGTACAATTCAGACGAAGACGAAGACTACTGTCCAAGTGAAGATAGTGGTCGTGATTGGAAAGGTGTAGGTTTTTTTCAGTGCATTTCTTGTGTCCCAATATTTTTGTGACCGTTAATACCCAATAACCCAGTGGGAGATTTAGTGAGAACGTCTCTTGACATAATACATGTCTGTTACCATCAGTAATTGTTCAGTACCAATCACTGTAGCGAAATTAACAACAGCAGACATCTTAATACTTGCAAGCACGAAATGATCGGTTTAATATGGTTAAATAAATAAAATTTGTGTCAATCAATAAGAAAGCAGTTGAACATCAACCAAGAAAATAAATTCTAGTAACTTATAATTAGTATAGTCATAATACACAAATTTCAAGTTAGTTTTACAGGTTTGTTGATAATAAATTCACAAACTGACTTTAACTTAATAACCACTAAAATATGGAGTATTAAACAGCTATTTCATCCTGGTATATAACTCAAATACATATTTTTGGGGTAACTGGTAAATTCAATTCTTTCTTTATCATATATTAACTTGTAATAATTGATTTGTTGTGGATAAAAGAATTTTAAATATGCTAGTAGTTTCTATGTTTAAAATACTTCACCACTATCACCATGAATTTAAATTTTTCGATCTCTGTAATGTTAAATTCTCAACTTCAGGTTTTTTCTCTAATAAGTCATATCAAAATTACTTTATTTTATTCATTTAGCACATTTACTGAATTTGTAGATTTCCTTTTGGTGTCTTTTGGGCTGTCACTGCTATCAGTGACAGTCGATGTAAAGCCTCGCACATGTATGCGTTAGCCGTAGTCGTCTTACAATATCAGCACGACAAGATAAAATTAACAAGGCTGTAGCATAGCATTCTTTACTATGAAACTGACTTCGTCTCATATGTAGTGCTTATTTAAACACTGGGATCATTCCACAAATTTAACCAATGATAATGCCTATGTGTCTGACACCAAGTACACCTGTTTAATGAGCTTTGTAATACTTGCTAGACACTTGTCTTTAGTCTAAATATCTGGAGGATAAATCTAAAAGCCGGAAACTAATTAATTTAGTCCAGCTCATGTTCAGCTATGGTTTAAAACGGGATCAAACTGCGTTGTGCAGCGTGTCATATGTTATGAAGAGGATAAATCTCTAAAACCTGAACTCCACTGTTCGAACCCCAACAATATTTGATCACTTTAAGTTTGTGCAAGATTTAAAACTCGGCTTGATACTGTCTGCAGATATTTCATATCTGCTTTCAAAGCAATTTATCAAAGCAAAGTGATACAGCTTTTAAGAAAATATTATATTGATGGCAGGAACAATCATACGATTGAGGGTAAAACGATATCTCAGATTCTTCATCTTAACTGTTGAAATAAAAGAAAAAGTTAAGCTTATGCACCACCCTCACTGCCTAAAGTTTTGAATCATCCTTTAGTAATTCCTTAATTACCTACACATGTCTCGATCAATAGTGCCAGGAAATATCAACAGATGGTGGCTCGAATTTTATATCGTTCCTCATAACCACTACATTAAGTGACTTCACATCGTAACGGAAAACTACACAAGAATATATTTCGTGTTTGCAATTATAGGAAATTTAATCTCATATGGGAATCATAAATACGGACGACATATGTTTTATCTTTATGGTTTACATCGCGAACTGATCTTAGAGAGCCACTAAAATCAACAAAGCACTAGACAACTGTTTCGTCGTAGTATGAAGCACCACACCGCTAGACGAGAAATCTCGAATTCGATTCATGTTGTGGAGTCGCAGGTGCTCAGTGCTGAAAAGTCCTATATTAAGATAAGATTTACGTACAATACTTCCGGGTTTTCATTGGTTCTCTAACAAGGAAAAACCCATGATGTAAACTAAAAGTTTAGCATTCTCCATAATCCCATCATGCTAATATTTATAATTCACTGACCAACAGTACGAACTTCATATTACGTACTTAAATTACTTATTTTCTGAAACTCTCTTTTCTCTCTACATTTCCAACATGTTGAATAGGAGATAAAAATTGGTGAAGATTATCAGGCAAATATCCCTATGCTTGCCCTAGCATCAAATGTAATGGAGAATCAATGTGATGAAAGTCGATCATCGTATTATGGTTCTGAACGGATTTTTCAAGAATCTAGTCTTGTATGGAAACCTTCGGAAAAGCTCTGTGAAGCTGATGTCACACGCTTTGAGAGATCATATGCCCAAGTTGTTCTGTCAACACTGCCTACTGAACGAACAATAGACGACGAAGAGGTAACTCCGGTCTTTATGTTTAAAGTTATGCTCTAAGTTCACATTTTTCCACCTTGACTACTCGTTAATAAGTAAAGTAGTAATGCTGAAATACACTGATTTCTCGAAAATACTATAGGCAATTTAAGTTTAATTCATTAAATTAGAATGTCCGTTTTACTTTATACTCACTCGGAATGCATATACCAGATGTTTTATCGTTCATTTAGTGTTATTAAGTTTTATACCTCATCAGTACACTTGTTTAACCGCAGGAATAACCAATGAGCTCTGCAGTCTTAGCTTATAATTGTTATCTTAACGACTCAAACACGATTTCAACCACATATTTATCTTTCTATTTTATTATTTACCATTGTTTTACTTTTAGGCTTTATTCTTGTTAATGCGTTGTGATTATGATACGGATGAAGCGCTGCAACGATTACAATTTAAAGCAGTATCACCAATGGGTATGATGACTTTTTTAAAACCCGATGTCTACACATGTGTGTATTTATGTTTTCTGTCGTTTGTGTGATTATCTTGGTTAGATTTTGAATAGTAATCACGTTTAATTTCCAATTATTCCGTTGATTTCAAATTAAAACTCAATTTTATTCACATTCAAAAGAGAGATACATGCAAGCAAATAGAATAGTATTGAGATCTCGTATTCCTTGTTGTTGCAAATGTATTTATATCTCGTATTTTCAGTGCATATAAATCATCTATTTTGTTTACATAGTTATGACATGCCTTCTCCATCTTAAAAATGCTTTGAAAACTCATCCGTCCATATTACTGTCAAGCTAAAGTCACGTTTGGCATCGATACTTTAAAGATTTTGATCATAGGTATCTTCAAAAATTGCTCGAATATTGTGAAACGATTGAGTGAACGGTTTTGAGTTTAGGCATAAGTACTAAACAAAAATGACATGTCGGTTGATGGGAACGGGAATCTTTATAAACCGGTTGAGACACATGTCACGTCGTATGCCCCCCACTATCTCCCTCGATGAGTAATATTTACTGTAGTAGGTGTAGTTTGCAAAAAATAGGGGCAGATAAACCAAAACCTAGCATCAGTCCATGGAATCATTCACTGTTAGACTGAAGTATGCTGGTACATCCTCACTACCTAGTTGGTGAGTGACTGGATAACATAGTTTAAAACCGGATTTAGTGGAACAAGTACATTCATTCTCCATCCTCCTTTAGATCATTAGTTTCAATATTCCTTCATGTATACTTTTTTCCGGACCATATTCTCTAATGTTTAGTTTCTCTCAGTATCTATTCCGGTACAGTTATTTAGACTCGTTTACTGTTTGCTTTTTATTGTCATCTCGTTTGACTGACTTGATATGATGAGTTTGGCTAATTTACATTTCCGCCAGGGTCTATCCCTTGTATCCCATGTAAAATTGCACCATAAATGTTTAGGCAGTTATATCAGTTCATTTTTATCATGCTATAAATGCATATGATAAATCGCATTCTTCCTATATACATTCCTTTACATACCTATGCTTATTAATAGTACACATTCATGAGTGTTCCTCAAGTAAATCTTATTACACTCTTTTGTCATCATTGCTACTGCATTACTTCGATTCCCTTTGCTCTCCATCTCGTCGTACTAATATGATATAACGATTCAAGCCAATGCACATCTTTACCAGGCTCTGCGTTAATAATGAGCCAATGACATGAGGATGGGGTGTTTTTGCTTTCACTAATATTGTAATTCGATTTGCATGTTTTTGACTGCGTAGTAATTTGTACTAGATGCCTGTTTTTTAATATCAGAATAATGTATATTTCTTTGAAAGATCGTTTGTATCGCTCCAGTGGTAAACGTACTTACTTTTTTCTGGTTAGCGTTTTTTAGCGAGTTAGTTTTCTATGGGATGGGGACGCTAACCCCATGCCCAACCCTCCTCCTTTATCTGGGCTTGGGACCAGCAATAGCCCCCGGAGGGACTCCAGGCGGAGATGGTCGTTAAATATGTATTCGCTATAAAAACCAACCACTTAAAAAATTAAACTTATTATGTAAAAGGCGAAATGTGATTCAGAAGTAAACCGAACTGTACGTTTTTTGTAAACATTTATCTTAGTTTTAAACAAACGGAAATTGTAAATAGGCGTATTTCGTCTCAAGTACTATGTACTTCCGGCCATTTATCTCTATGCTATGGCTTAATATTACTAACGATCTGCATAATCTTCCTTTTATAAGATTCCAGATTGAAATTTGTGTATTGTTTGCTATTGTTATCGATAAATTAAAGTTGGTTTATTTATATATATATATATATATATATATACATATATACGAATATGTTAAAATAAATCAATGCACAACATTGTTTTCGTTAATTATATCATGTTACATTAGGTAACAATGCTAATTTTTAATTCGTTTTTGTATTGATTGTTTACAATTTATTTACGCGAATCATCAAGTACCAGGTCCCATGTTGCGACCGACTGATTCCCACAAATAGGAATTCTCATAAAGTGCAAGAAATGTTTTGGAATGATAAATAGCTCCTTTTTCAGCCCTGAACTTTTTTATTTTGCATAATTCAATTCAAGTTGATAGCAGATAGAAAGTGTTCATAGGTCGCTAGATTTCAGTACAGACATATTTACTCTTGTTTGGTAAAACCTTCGACTATGTAGTGTCGAAGTTACATGTAGAGTACGAGATAAATATGTTAAATTGAAAAATGAGTTTAGTTTTTGCGTTGTGTGTTGCGTAAGACTACTTCAGAGTTCAATGCTGGCCAATGTGTGATTGAAATAAAGAAAAGTAAGGTTGATTAAACCAATAAGTGAGACTAGTTTATATAGTTGGTGAATATAGATCTAGTTGTTATAATCACAGACATTATCCATTATGTACTGTCCTTTCTTATTTCATTCCCAGCTGTTCCCGGTTATCTAGATTCATGGTCGGAGTCTGATTGTGCAGCATTCGAGAAAAGTTTCGCTTTATGTGGAAAAGATTTTCGTCAAATACGAGAGACACGAGTGAGTAGATTTCACTTACCTCAAATACCGCATTATCTATCTAGATCTGTTTTTCCATGCCAACAAATAGAATGGTCAGATTCAAGTTACTACTATCATAATGTTTATAGACACTATTCAATGTTTAATGGTAAATAGGCATGAATCTGTTTATCATGATATATCTGTTTATTCAATAAAAAGGAAATATGACCTGATGTATACCACGTTTACTGTTGCTAAACATAGTTGAAAACGTATTTTTTACATGCATCAACGACTAGATAACATAGTTAAGCCGTAACTTGCGACTTGACCATAGTTGAGATATGCATAATGATGAATGTATTCTAGGAAATTCATTATGTTCACTAGGTGGCTGAAGTAGAAATGAACTGAAAAAGACAATCATCCGGTCATTCTGTTTACATGGCAGAAATCTATTAAGTCATTTATCATTCGTTTAAACTGTATGGACATGCTAGTTAATCAATCTGGTCGTCTACATTTTTACTCTCCTGTTCTTGAATCATCCATCGTGTTAGTGTAGATTGCGACAAGTTGAATTGTGTGCTTTCAACTTTTTGTTGCCAAATGTCAAGGCTATATTGCATATTGCCAATCACAAACGTAAATGACTCGATGTCATTTAAAAAAATTAGTTTTGCAAGCTGAATAATAAAAATAACTCACTACTGACAGGTTTTCGATTTGTTGCCTTGTTCATTTCGTATAATTCCACCACTAAAATATTTATCCTGTTTTTATTTCTTTGTTCTGGAATAGTATGCTAAATGGTTTACATTAATGTAGCATAAATGATTCCGTTGTCCATACTTCGCTTCGGGAGTATAGTGTACTCTAAACCTTAGCAGTTTGATTGGGAAGCTTTCATGCTTGCTTGCGACAGTATCATTTCTAACTACTCAATCACGTCAAGAAAATATATTTCCAGTAGACACCCTTGTGCTTCAAGTTTTCTTTAATTCCATAATGTATGTAACATGAATAGGTATGGTCACCCTACATGTTGTCGTTATTTTACTCTTCCGTGTTATTTCACTGATCAATTTCTTTTATTAACTTTGAAACTCGTTAATTCAATTGATATAAACGAATCTAATCAACTTTTTGAGGAAATTGAAAAGTATAGTTATCAAAAAATTGATGATATGGAAAAGCATAGGAAAGTTGTAAGCGTCAGACATTTGTCTTTAGTTTTGCAATCCACATTCATGACCCTCAATTGTTTTTTAATAGAAATCTAAAGTTTCAAAAACTAAAAGCCTACTACATGCACTAAAATCCATCGTGTTTTTCCTGTTTGATTAACTTTTATTGATTGTTTGTTTTTGTGAAATAAAATCATTTTATAGCTTCGTCATAAAACTGTGTCGGAACTGATTCATTTTTATTACCTTTGGAAGAAGACAGCACGTCATGATGAGTTTGCACGAATATATCGTAGGGATAAAAAAAAGTCTTCACATCCTAACATTGCGTAAGTGTTTTTTTACAACTGTCGTAGTCTTTCGTCTATCTAAATATAATTTTCAGTAACTGGATTTCCACCAATGTCGGTATGAAAACTATGAGATTAAAATTACTTCATACCTTTCTTTCTACTGACTAATTCTTTCTCCGTGTATTATATCCTTATATGCAATTTTCTATAAATTACTACCACTGAAGTAACTACTATGAATTCGGTGTTCATCTTGTTGTGTTAATGGGGCACAGGGACTTGAACCGAAGCATATATGTATCTGGTCCTACGTTGTAGCTGACTGACCAGTACAATGTGTGACTTGAATTGTCTAGTAAAATATTTGCTTACTCTATGATTTGTATTGATGAGTGACAGTCCTTACTATCCTGATTCCGATTAAGACATTCCCCTATTTTTACGAGTTACAGCATCTTTGTCAGTCTTTATGAAACAAAAGTGAAACATTACTTTTCAACCAATTTTGGTTGGTTTTGTCTCTCAACTGTAACTTTCTGGACGTGAAACGCCGTTCAATTAACCTATGTAATTGTGATAACATTCCCAAAAAAACTTGTAGTTGGGTAATATATTTTTCCGCGACTTCCTCTCACTTTTACATAGTTTGAGGTATATTGAACCTATGCATTTATCTGAATTCTTTTCATTGTTGTTTATTATTAACTGTTCCGTGGTAATATTTTGTTCTGTTATTTCTATCCTTTTATTCCCAAACAATATGAAACTAACTGCACTGCTTGTCCTACTTTGTTTAACATAACGTTTTATGTAGCTACTTTACTTTCTTTTACTGATATTCCACTGACATTCACCGCACAACCATTCAATATATATAGTTTTTTATTAAATCGAATACATTGTTTAAACGGAACAAGATGTCCTAATAATGTAGATTGATATGACGAAACGACTACTATTAAAAAACTGTTAGTCATTTCTCAGTATGGAATTAACATTCGTTACAAATCACTCATCTGCTCAATAGGAAATAACCTTACTAAAAAACGTTAGCCAAAATAAAGTTGAAGGATCTTTATTGTGAAGAACTATGACACCTTGTGGTGAAAACCTATATTCTTCGAAAGTCAAGAGGCTGATGCTCTTTCTAACACCCAGAGCAACAACTAATATAGGTACAATGAATGTTCGGACAATATGGAAGACCGGGAGGACCAGTCAAATAGCCGTGAGAATAAGAAGACACTACTTGACTGTTCTCGGAATCAGTGAAACCGATTGAACCCAAGCTGTACAGAAAAGGTTAGATTTGCGAGAGATGCTGCTGTACTCCGATCACGAAGAAGAAATGCGGTTGCACACTCAAGGAGTTGCTCTGATTCCATCTAAAGAAGCACGTATAGCACTGATAGGATGAAAATCTCACGAATCCAGGATAATCAAAGCATCCTTCAAAACAAAGAAGGGAATCACAATGCTTGTTATCCAATATTGTGCTTCCACCAAGATCAGTTCTACGAGCTGCTGCAATCGATCATAGCGAAGTGTTCAGGAAAGAACCTGACCATCTTAATAGGAGACCTAAATGCCAAAGTTATAATGGATAATAACGAGTATTATTATTATTATTATTAGCTTTATTCAATATTATAATTTTGGTACAATATAGAATTCTCAGCGCAAAGTATTTCAACAAGTTTCCATTTCTTTCTTCTTGGTCGGTCCTGGCGATAAATATTGAGGAATCGCCAGTTAGATGTTAGCACTTCAGTGAATGAAAAACTGAAAAATGTACATTCTTTTCGTTGTACATTGCCAGCAACCATATTGTCTCTTATTGAGTTTTCTGTAACTTTGACAACGAAAGGTTGTACACTTTTCAGAAACGCAGCAGAATAGGTTATGCGATTAATAAACATAATGATATATTAAAACAAACAACAATAGATAACTTGTTGAAATATCTAGGTGGCAGGAACAGGTAGCCCAGATGCTCAAGCAGGCCGCCCTACTTACGAGAGAGATATAATTGAACGACGTGGACTGGAAAAAAGAGACGAAGGCGATAAGAGATTTGCGAATCAATGTGCATTCAACAAAATGGTTTCAGGTGTCATAGTGTCCTCCCACAAACTCGTATTCGATCCGAACGTCAAGACAGTTCTATTGTACGTAACTGAAACTTAGTGAACTACCACAACAAGTACTTATAAACAATTGCACTACGCATGATACTCAATGTCCGTAGGTCAGATGTCATCAACAGCCTACTGTGGAAGAGAACGAATCAGCTTCTAACTGAAGAGCAAATCAGAGAAAGACTCTGAATGTAAATAGGACAGCCAGGAAGCATCAAACTACATCATGAAACAGGCGCTAGCCCTTAATCCTGATGAAAAACTGAAAAGAGAGAACAAAAACACTGCGCCGATAATTGGAAGCAGATATCAAAAGGATGAAGGGCCAGTAGAAAGGATTGTACAGGACGGAGTTGGATGGAGAATACTAGTAAGCAGCCTATGCTCCTCCACGAAGAGTAACAGGCGTAAAAATGAAGTTACAAATCAATGTTTGGCCGTGATCTGTTAGATAATAAATAACATTGTTTATTTAGGCTATGCTATTATAATGGAAAATTAATTACAAACATTTGCCTGACTGCTTGTTTTTATTCCATGATTTCTGAGATTATTACAACTTTGTAAAGTGATGAATTTAAATGTGAAACTTTTGTTTTTATGCTTTATTTCGTACACACTCCCGTTACTAATTACTTCACAGTGATTTTATGGATTGTTTGGCTATGGAACAAGAAATTCTAGCGGAATCCTATATGCAAAATGCCAGTGATATAGTTTTGTCAACTGCAACATCGAATGCGGATATTCAGTCCTATCCTCATAAATCCATTCAGCATACTTCAATCAATAATATCGGTTCCGTAAAAGCTGGTGGTTGTCAGTTAGGCTCATCAATCAGTTGTAACAATGGTCAAAATACTGGAGTAGTGTCAGCGAATTGTAATGAAACCTGTACTTCAAGAAGTCCTGTTAATCGATTTACAGCTTTGTCAGACGACATGAGTAAGTTGTAATAAATGTTCTTATTTAACATTTTCTTCTTTATATTCCTAAATTGTAGGGCATATTCATTTTAGCATATTGTCATATATTAATTGAATAATTATGACATAGAGCCAGATATTAAGCACCCCTAGTCTGGAGTTAACCTAATGGCGTTAGAACTAGTACCTCTAGTTGAAAGTCGAGTGTTTCATTGTTTAGGTTTAAGTAAATGTTTAGAATGAATTATCTTTACACATATATCTATGAAGTTCTAGCAACATGTTGAAGTATATGATGGAAATCGTTTGTGCGTATCACTCTAGCATTACGCGAAAAAAGACAACCGAATAGCCTTACTTTTGAGAACTTCCACAAGTGTTTTCGACAGGGAAAATAGGGTAAATGTACTGTCCCGAATAGGGAGTATTTGGGGACAGATTAGTCTGTAGTAAATGATAAAAACTAATGTACAATAATTGTGTTTAATTCCAAGACCTAAAATCTTTGGTATTAGTTATGAACTGAATTTCATCGATTTTCAGAATAGTATTGACACAATAAGACGACGTTTGTGTATCCTTGATGTTATCTCATCATTGAAACAATCATCCAACCAAATTGTTAGTTGAGATGATATTTAAATTACTTTAAAATGTACTCGCAACTTTCTGCTATGTGAAATGTTCACATTTCCATGGGTTGCTGTGGAATGATCATATATATATTTATAATTTTTCCTACTGTTTCTCTTAAAAGATTTTTCAGCCAACTTAATTCCAAGTATTTTTTCTTTCGGTGTTTTAGTAAACAGTGAAGTCACTACCAGTATATGCTTAGATGTTCCTGGAAATCAATGCAAATCGAAAACAAGTGGTAACTCATTGAATTTACCAATAAATACAACTAATAATAATAATAATAATTACAATGGAGCTTTTTGTATAAAGCAATCAGAGCATATGCCTAGTTCATCATCTACACGTACAGCATTGTCATCAACTGTATCTGTTTAGAGTTAACGGCGTTGGAAAATATATTCGATACTTTTTTTGGCTACATTTTACTGTTTCTTGTTCTACATGTAACACTCCAATTTTTATATGCACTTCTTCATTTAAGATTCCGATCTCTTGATAACTTAAGGTTTTTTCTACTGATTTTTAAGTGATTGTACTTCAATTTGCTGTAAAACTTTCTTGTTGTCTTTTGGTAGTTTGCTTGTATGTTAGTAGATCTATGTAAGTCTGAATAATGTGCATTATATAAAAAACTACTGCTACTTTAAAAACAATGTGAGTCCAAAAATAGTATTTCTCATCACTCATGTTATTGTATGTAGCTAGGTATATACTGTTGCTCTTCATTATTGTCATATTATCTTTTGCTTCCCCTAATCAACCTGTACTCATGTTTAGAATATATTTTCCTGATTTACTTCCATTATATTTGTATTTTTATCCTGTGCACGACGGATGTTTTCTCACTAAATGTTCCTGTCTTCTACTGTACTGATAAAACTAAGATGAAAATGCTGTTAATAACATGTATAAAATATAAATTGTGTAACAATTGTCTAGAATTTATGTTACGCCGTCTTTCAAAACAAATCTGATCAGCGCTTCGTTAAAGATGCAGTTCAACTAATCTGTTACGCGATATATGTTGATTCTAAAACAATTAGCTGCAGCATGATTTACCAAGTTTAATAGTATTTACAACTAACTCGCTAAGTTTAATTAGGCCTAGGAACACCAGGCATCGAGGAGAGAATTTAGTATTCCAGGTGGTCTAAGTGCACCGTTGTTTTGTCTGGCTTCAATTGGTTATAGTGTGCTGTTATAACATCGTCTTGGGGTCGTTGGAGGTTACGTAGGACGTGCTACAATTTTTGCGGAATTCTGCAACGTCTTCGTGAATAAATGGCCACCAAAACCTCTGGCAGATAGCATGTTCAGTCTTCCGTTTTCCTGAGTGCCCAAGTTCTCGGTGTACCTGCTCCATACTATTATGAACTTGTACACGTGGTGCTATCAATAGTGGCTGTTTTGATTCACTGACTATAAATAACGTGTCTTCATACAATCTTAGACTGTCCCACTTCGCCAAGGAATGATCCTTCAACTCTGTCATAGATGGTTTATTATTGACATGTAGTTGCCTCTGATAAATAAGTCGCAGATCTGGATCTAGTGCTTGAAGAGACGGCCAGTCGATCTCGGGGGCTGTGTTGAGGACGGCACTAATGGTATCAGGCGAATAGGGTATACGAGATAGAGAATCAGCATTTGTGTGTCGGCTTCCGGGTCGGTATTCTCAAGTAAAATCAAACTCCTGCAACCTCTCCTGCCAGCGCTCTACCTAACCTTCTGGTTCACGGAACGAACGAAGCCACTATAGTGCACGGTGGTCTGTGCGTACACAAAAGGGTCGTTCTAGAATATAGTGACGAAAATGTTGCATCTCTCGGCGCGTCGTAGAATACCATGTCTCTTTTATCTAACCGCGGACTAGCGTACGCAATGACCCGTTCCTTTCCGTCTTGTGCTGTTTGAGACAGGACTGCTCCAATAGCTGACGAACTAGCATCTGTATCAAGTATAAACTCACCCGCTTTAGCAGAAGTGTCCGGAAAAGCTAATAAGGGTGGAGCAGCAAGACATCACTTCAAAGTGTTAAATGCTCGTTGACATTCTGTGGTCCACAAAAATGTTCGGCCTTTGTGCGTCAGGCGATGTAGAGGTGCTGCCAGGGATGCAAAATCGCTTACGAAACGTCTACAATAAGAAGCGAGTCCCAGGAAGCTGCGAACGTCCTCGGCAGATCTCGATTGTGGTCAATTAATGATGGCGCTCGTTTTTTCCTGATCTGTTGCTACTCCCTCTTCCGTAATGCGATGCCCTAAAAAGAGCACTTCTTTTTGCAGTAGTCGACATTTAGATGGTTTAAATTTTAGGTTATGCTGCTTAATTCGTTGTAGGACTACCTTCAAATTGGCATTATGCTGTTCCGACGTGCTGCCATACACAATAATATCGTCAAGGTAAATTAAACACTGGTGCGGTACGAGACCGTGTAGAACTGTCTGCATCGTTGGAAGGTGGCTGAGGCATTAGTTAGCCCGAACGGCATCACCTGAAATTCATATAGACTATTGGGTACTGTGAATGCTGTCTTTTTTCTATCTTGAGGTTGGACTTCCACTTGCCAATACCCTGATGCTAAGTCTAAAGTCGAGAACCAACGAGCGCCTTTCATGGTATCTAATGTAGCGTCTAAATGTGGAAGTGGGAAGGAATCACGTTTAGTTATAGCATTAAGGCAGTAAAAGTCTACGCATAGTCGTAGGGAGGAGTCTTTCTTTTTCACTAAAACGATAGGCGATGCCTATGGTGATGAAGATGGTACAATAATCTTTTTCTCTAGCATATCTTTTATCACTGATTCTAATTGAGGCTGGTAATGTGCTGGTACTCGGCGAGGTGGTTGACGTAATGGCGTGTGATCCCTTGTGAGGATGGAGTGCTGTACAGTGGTCGTCCGACTTCCAGAGATATTCTCAGAGAAAACGGAACTAAATTGTTGGAGTACATCAGTGGCTGCTCGACGGTCTTTTTCACTTATTATTTTATTATCCTGTACCTGTCCCACCTGGGCTAAGGACTTAGTTGACATTTCATGGTGTTGTATGTGCACGACAACTCCACCAATACTCGCTTCTGACTTATTCATGTGTATCGAGACCTGGTAAATCAACATGAAGTCGACCCCGAGAAGCATGTCCCAAGTCAGTGTGGGGCAAACCCAGAATTCATGTTGAAAAGGCTTCTTGTCTATCGTTAGCTCTAACCCTATCTCAGAACACGCTTGCAAGGGTTCTTCGCTCGCGGTAATCATTGTAGAAGAGCATTGTTTACGCTGAGTGCTGTGGTTAAGTTTTTGCAAGTGGTTTTCCTTGATCAAGGATACTGAAGCTCCTGTATCTAATAGTATATTAATCTCAGTACTTTGCACTCTACCCCTAATAGTAACAGGGCATAAATGTTTAACATAGCAAGACGGTATATGCAAACGACACTGCCCACCGCTGTTTTTCACGCGGTTATGCCCGCATTTCTTGGCATTTTTGCCGAAACCTCTGCAGTGAAAGCATTCTATTTGCTGGTCTCGATAGTTGTTCCTTGGCGACCGTCCGTTCCATGTGAGAGTCAACTGCCCTCGTCTACTATTTCGGTCAGGGAACTCTCTAATAGCCGCGGCACTTTGAAAGCTATCTTGTCGATTAGGTTCAGTAGCTTCCTCAATAGTCATCACTGTTGGTTGATAGGTCGCCAATGCAACTGACACTCTCTCAGCAGTCAAAAATCGAAGTGCTGTTCGTTTTATATCGGCTGTGTCAGCCGGTGGCACTCGAAGGAGATGTTCTCTCAGTGCACCTGGCAGCAGTCCTTCAATAAAACGGGAGCGTGTAATTTCTTCTCGCCCCACGATGTCCAGGCTTGGGAATGCCTGGGTTGCTATCTGATGTAATGAGTGAAGATAATTGATGGGGCCTTCATGCGATTTCTGGTGGCGCGACGAAAATTGGATGGCCGTCTGCTGGGCATCCACCTTCAACGAAAAACATTCATCCAAAATCTTCCAATTTTGAGATGGTGAATTGCACGCAGTAAAGCCGTTAGCTGTCGTTTGTTTCGCTGCTTCGTCATCTAAGTAGGACGGAAAGTGGTCGAAGTGTTATGACGTTGGAACTTGACGTAGGCACGTCTATACTCTGATTTTCCAGATATCATAGTCTGATGAAACTCCTAACAGTGGCGGTTTGCAGGGCGTTGTGCTGACCGTTACCTTGCCTGGGATGTCTGGGGGTTCATCATACTGTTAATCGTGTTTTGCCATAGATACCTCCATCACCACTTGTAGTACGTATTATTAGCGTTTACTTGCAAGCAGAAGCGACCTGAAACACAAAACAACAGAGTCAGGACTGGCAGATACCACTCAAGTGAGAACACGGCGTGCGAGCACAACAGAGATATATTAAAAATTGAATTACGCGGTTTAAGTACAAAAACGGAAGTCTATTACAAAATGGTTTTACTCATTATCCAGCAGGTTTAACTTGCGCAAGGCTTGTTCTTCTTCTTCTTCTTCTAGTACGTTCACTTTCTGTTGTCCTGCAATAAGGAAAACAAACGTGCATTAGTAAAGTCACACGTAATGATTTTTGATACTGTTACAGAAATACTGGTCGTATTAAGCGCTAATTAACGGAGTTGTGTCTGACTTAATTTTTTAGGTCGATTAAACTCTTGAATGCGAATAAGGTCAACTGTACCAATTGACATTTAGCTATGCCGTTTAATTTCGATATAATAAATAAAAGCCTGTGTTCGTCTAGCTGAACAATGTGGCAAATACTGGAACACTTATTGGAGTTTGCATGTACTGTTGTTGAACAGATCAGTGTTCATTAGATGATATCGACATTGAAGAAAACCATAAAGATGTATTATTAATCTGCGGACTACAGTCTCATTATGATTATTATCCTTACTTGACTATGTAGCTTATTCGAGAGGGTCTGACTAGGATTTAAGAGTGTTAGTCCAGTTGACCTCCCCCATAGAAATAATTTTGTTGTAACATTGAACTGGTCCGAGTGCACAATTTTCAACTCGTTAATCATAAGTGAGACCTATTTTTATTCAGTTTCATATCAGTATTGACTGAATTGTTCTACACAGGAAATAAGTTCACAGATACTGCTAAAGAATACAATGGTTATTTCATTTAATTCACAGTTAACACAATGGCATATATTAAGATACCAGATATTGCTTATCGATGGATACTAATACGAATTAGCCTTAGCGCAGATAATAAATATTTGGTAATTGTAAGGCTGAACATCTTCTAATGCTATTATGAGTGAAGAACACACGGTCTGGTGAATTTCTTACCGAAATAGTACGAAACGCATCAGATGAAACTAGTTCCCGGAGAATTAACGCTA